TACTTTTTGTTACTGAGTCACAGTTTGTAATTTTTCATATCTTCTTCTCTCATAGCTATTAATACTCCCTATTGCTGAATCCAAAGAAGCAATTTTGCCAAAACTTTGTGAAATACGAGCAATAAATGTTTCCAGGTGACCCCAGCTGCTCAGTATCAATCCTTAAACCTACCCGTGATTTCCACAGGTAGAGCTGCGCATCTCTTGCTCCTCCATCATTCCAACCTTGGACATCCTACTATTACACCCGAGAACCCAATGCAACCAATGAAACCAGGTCAGTCTAGTCATCCCCCAGCACCCCCCACCCACCAACCAGCACAGAAAGGGGGCGAAGCAGGCTTTGAGGGAGGCTGGGCCATCTGGTGTGGTGCTCACCGTGAGCCCCCCACACTGTCTGCCAGGGTGCTGGGGCAGACAGCCACTGTCCCCGGGTCTTCTTGCCTCTTGCCTCTCCCAGTTTTCAGCAGTAAAGCAGGGGGTGTGATGGAACAAGAATCCATTAGGCTTCTGGAAGTTGGAAGAGTCCAGGGCCGACAAGGTCCTAGGCACCATGTTCAAGAAAAGGACCAAAAGGTTCAAGAAGGAACATAGTATCAGAATGTTGGCCAACACATATGGGTTGTGTGCCAGGGAGCTAGACACTGTGTTAATATAGCATCACAGTTAATTCCACAACAACTCTATGGAGTTGGCCTATTATATCCCAAACTTTACAAGTGAGGAAACAGACTTTACAGTTTTGGACAATGATATGTCCAGGGTCACATAGTTGGTAAGCACTGGAACTCTGATCCAAACGCCTGCACCTGGTTCCAGTACCCATACATCCCTAGACCTAACCACTGCACTGCACTGCCTCCAGGAAAGAGGGAAAGCAGCCATCAAATAGAAAGATGACCCCTGACCTACTCGCCTCATGGAGTGGTTGTGGACAGATACGTTTTTGTAAGTCATTTTAGAACACAAAAGTGATACACAAATGAGAGCTGGCTTTGTTATGATCATTACTATGTGGGATAAAAAGCAGGATCTGGAACTCACCCCTCTTCCCACACTTCTTCCTTCCTCCTATGGATTTTCATGCACTAATCCCTTGGAACTGAAATGACATTCTTCATTCCTCCTACTCTGTATCATTTTAAATTTAAAAAAAACCTTCAATGCATTCATGTTAATCATACTAATTAGAAGGTTTTAGAATACATTTCTGGATCAATTTATCATGAACCCCAGAATTTATAAGTTTATATTTCTCCCTTAGAATATGAACTGATCATCTTTCCCTTTCAGCTAACTATAATAATAAAGGATACTAGAGGCAAGTGTGATATTTTTTAAGAAAACAGTAACTGGGAAATAAGTAGAAAGATACCATTATAGAATATAAAATATTCTCTCTCTAGAAAATGAAAATTAATATATGTACCTCATGTTCCAGGGAATGTACTCTGCCAAACTGTAACTATGGTTACACCCCAAATTAATTAGCTCTGTATACTGAAGCCAAGAAATGCCGATCCTCAGAGCCTGATTAAAGTTTCAAATGCTCACTTCATTAACCTTGCAACATTTCCCCTCATCAAAGCAATTTTCAGAGGAGCAGATAAGTGGCAAAGTAAGATTTAACTCTTTCTCCAGACACCTGCTCAGAATTTTGGAAAAGGGGCTAACAAGCATCACATATGGAGAGACTAAAGAAAAACAGAAGGCCTGGTTAGGGCCAAAATATAGTAATGAATCCCCAAATAAACAAGGGATGACTGTCCTAAAATAATAGCAAACCATACTAGATTACTGGAGATCATTCATTTTACTCTGTATTGTAACACAGTGCTGAATTTGAAAAAGCACAATATTATTATGTGAACAGCCTTGACTTCCCATAGCACATTATTTCTGAATAACTATGTATGAATAACTTGGGAAACAAGTCCCCAGATAACAACTGGCTACACACACGTGAATAATGAACTTTTCCTGGTTCATCTGTAGTCCAAATTCAGGTCGTGATCATTATATTTACATAAACAAGGCATACCTAAATTATAGTTTAGATAATAACTAAACCCTATATATCGTCCAGTCTACTTTTGCAAAAATAAAAGTCAACAACATTAGCATGTTCTGAGTTAAGTCACACCTTTACATCTCTTTGGGAGTGAGGTTTCAGACCTGTCACTCTTTGACATTCAGCAGTGGTGGCACCAAAATGTCCAGAGAGTATTAACAGCCCCAAATCTCAGGAGAGTGTTTTTACAGCGGTGCACCTTCAAAGCCCTTGTCCATCTGGTATCTCTCGTAGGCCGAAGGCCTGTGAGGTGGACTTACCTACCTTGGCAGCTATCTGCTCACCAGAGAGCTGAGCAACTGAGGCCCACAGAGTTTACACGCCTGGTTTCAAGTCACCAGAGGAAGAGGAGGAGCCAGCAGGGCTGCCTGGCCTCTGGGTGCCTCCCACCCACCGCCTCACACCCACTTTGTTGTCCTTCAGTGGTCGAAGTTTAACCTGAAGGAATGGGATTGTTGGGCTCTGCTGCTTTCAGTGACCAGCTTTGGTCAATTCTTAGGAACTGAAAGCCCATTTACTTTCTATAAAACCGGGTCCAGAGTCCTAGGCCCTGCAAAAGCGATGAGGCCTCCCTGGTGGGGCCAGTGTCCCAGAACTGCTGGGGCGCTGCTAGGACAGAAGCTGAGCAGTCACCTCAGCCCCTTGTCTGGACCCCTCCCCTAAATCATGCTAACTTAAGGGAAGACCTGCATCCAGCCCCGGCTCCAGCTAACCTGCTTGAGTAAGGACTTAATTCTATCTGGGCCTTACCTTCCTTCTCTCTATGATTAAAAACTGATTTAAATATTCTCCAGCTCCAAAGGTCTACTTTATGCCTAATTGCATATCTATCACTTTGCCTAAAAGCTGAATCCAAGGCATTCTCAACACTGAAATGCCTAGTCAAGGTTTCCCATTTTAATTTCATCTCTGTCGTCTACTTGTACCACTTGGTATCACTCTCCCCACACGTCTGTTTATGCTTTTCCCATATTTGTAAGTTGTTATCATGTCTCCTCTGAATCATCAGTTTGTGATTTTCCCACACAATTTAACCACCATAAATTAAATCCTTTCAGCAAACTGATTATGTTTTTGTGTTTTTTATTGAATACACACTCATCTAGCTAGTTACTGAAATTTTAAATAAAATTTATGAAATTTTCCCTCAAGGTCACGCTTTTTAAAGAAACCTTTTCACTTGGGTCTTCATACTTCTACTGATTTCCAAATACAAAGTTGGAAGCTACTGATTTCCAAAATATATAGGCATGTAAACATTTGTTTTGCTTTATTTTTACAAGTTTGATTTTCCTCTTTATTTCTGCCCTTTAATTTTTGCTTTATTTTGTTTTCCTTTAAAATTGTCGATTTCCTCTTTACCCCTACTACCACCTTCAGTCAACCCACCACAGGAAAGCAGAACCCAGGGTACCAATCCAGAAATATGCAGTTGTGTAGATAAAAGATGAGGGCTACGGAGGAGAGAAGGGACTGAGCATGAGCCACTCTGCTGGCACACGACTGGAGAAGCTCTGGGCCTGCTGCCACTGCACTCTTATTTTAAAGCCCTTATTTTCCCCAGAAAGAAATGCTAAAGTGTGTATCCAGAAGGAAAAATGCTGAAGCAAGGAGGGAGCCAGAGCAGCTGGGGGTTGGTAACATTAATCAAAGTCCAGCCCAAACTTTTTTTTTAAGCAACAGGAAGTAGATTCATTCTCTTATAATCTCCCTGTCTCTCTCCTCTCCTCTCTTCTCTCTCTCTCTCTCTCTCTCTCTCTCTCTCTCTCTCTCTCTCTCCACACACACACACACACACACACACACACACACACACACACACACACACACACACACACACTTACTCTTTTTCCTCTCTCTGTCTTGCCAAGGCACAGAAACAAGCTGGGTGGAAAAAACCTCAGTTCCTTGCACTGCCTTCAGAACTCTGCAACACTCACTGGCAGTTCAAAGACAAAGTGCAGAACATGGGAAGCCTGGTCTCTGAGAGAAGAACGCCTGTGCGCAGCAGCCTGGGAGGCAGAAGAGCATGCTTTCCCCTACGCTAGTATAACAGATCACCACAAATGTGGTGGCTTCAAACTACACACACTTTTGCCTTATTGTTCTGGAGGCCAGAAGTCTGAAATGAACTTCAGTTGGCTGAAATCAAGATGTTGGCAGGGCTGTGCTCCCTCCAGAGGCTGTGAACAGAAAACCTATTTCCTTGTCTTTTTTCAGCTTCCAGTGGCCGCCTGCATTCCCCGGTTGGGGCCCTTCCTCCACCGTCAGAGTGCATCACTCCGATCTCTGCCCACATCATCACACCACCTTCGCTCCTAATCAAGTCTCCTTCTCCTTCCCCTGTGCGGACATGCAATTGCATTTAGAGACCCCGAGACATCCCAGGATATCTCCCCATCTCAGGCTCTTCAGTTCAATCATATCTGCAGGCCACTGTGCCACAACTGGGAACATTCAGGTTCCAGGCTTGGGATGGGGCATCTCTGGGGGCTATTATTCAGCTACCACAGAGCACTTCTGTCCAGTTGGCTCCTGGTGAAAGTCTTCCTCTCAGTTGTCCACTAACATCGACTAAGTTATGAATATGGGATCTGAGGAATGAGGGCAAAGATGTTTTCTAAATACCAAATAGAGAAATCCCACATATATGGCTCCAGTCTTGTCACAGATTTACCTTTCCATCATGTTTGGCCTGTTAAGCCAGCTGTTTCTATTTGGCAAACCCTGTAAGCATCTCATTGCACCCCAAGCCTGGGTGTGGTTTCCATTCCACTGCCCTCAGTAATCATCCACATGTTATACAGAAACTCATTTTCCAACCAAGATTGCGTCTCAGAGCCAGACATGCTCATGTGTGTCAAAAATCCGGCAATGGCCTAGTTACTGTATCCCAGATGGAGCACGGAGAGGGAGAGTTGGAACTCACCAAATCTCTTGTAACCGAAGGACTGCACCTCCTCCTCCTCTGCGAAGTCGTCTGCAGGGGAAGAGAAGACACCGGGTTAACCTGCGTGGCCTGGCATGTGGGGGCAGTGTGGGACCCAGCTGCTGCCATCCCCAGCTGCTCCCTACCCTCCTTCACCATGATGCTCCCACACTGGCTTTCCTTCTGCTCCTGCGCCACACCACACTTTCTGAGAAAAACCACAGGGTCCCTGCCCTGGCTGTTCCCTCTGCTTGGAATGTTCTTCTGCACTTTATGTGACTCTTTCTAATCCAGGTCCCAGCTACAGTGTGATGCCTTTCAGAGGCTTCCCAGACCACCCAGCCATTCTCTGTCTCACCACCGTATTTTACTATTACTCTCTGATATCATCCTCGTTTATGTGTGTGTGTGCATCATCATGCATCTTGTGTGCACAAACGTTTTCCTTCTTGTTTCATGAATGAATCCTCAGTGCCCAGAATGGTGCCTCTTACAGAGCAGGGGCTTACTAAATTTTGATGAATGGTCAAATAATCAACTGTCCAAAGGGTTAAGTTATCTCCGCATAATGGGCCCAAAGCTCTCCCTGTGAGATGTGGGCTCTGGAGTCATCTCTTCCACCAACTGTGGCATCTCGGGAGCCCAGCATGACTCCAGAAATGACAACCAAATCCTTCCCCTCTCCTTCCATTGGATCAATGGGACTGACACATGGTTTCCTAGTGAATGCATTTCAGAAGACAGACCTGCTGTGGGAATTTCTAAGTGTAGGACTGCTGTGGAAACAAGAGAGATGTTATATAAACCAAGCTTTCTACCAAAAAGCCTACATCCCACTCCTAATATGGAGATGGTGCAATTCCTTATCACATTGATAAAAACAACTCATTTTACAGTTCTGACAGGTGTGAGTCTGGCAATTTATCATGTAATTAAAGGACACTTTTGATAACAAGTAAGGGTATCAAGACCAGGTCTTTCCAAAGAGCCCTAACCAATTATTCTTGAGTTGGTCACCATTACTGTGCCCAGTGGCACCCAGCTTTCTCCCCCAACACAGTTCAGTGTAAAAGCACTGATTCAGCATTTACTATGAATCACAGAACTGCCAGGCAGTGAGGCTTCAGAAGTGAGTGAAACACGCTCCCTTCCCTCAAGAAGCTGACAGGCTTTCAAGGAAGAGAGTCAAGCATGGGGAAAATAAAACCTTTGTGACTGCTTTTTTAACCCCTACCTGGGACACAGGACCTGAACCTTGAAATGTTATGGAAAAACCCACGATGTATGCTGTCTGTAATACAATGTGGTGAACCTCAGAACCCTAGTTTGTTAGGAAGTGCTGGAAAACACATGTGAGGGAGCAATGACTTCTACCAGAGTGGAGAAGTGCACATTTTTGTGTTTTACCACTATTCCCTTATTCAGAGAACAGAGATATTATTTCAAATCTAGACGGCCAGGTCTTCATAATTAGTGTTCTTATGCCAAGGATTAGGGCTTTAATTAATTCCACATGGAAGAAATGCTTACAACTAAGAGAACAGCACCTTTCTCAGTGACTGGTTAATTCAACTAATACAGACAGCCCCTACTCTACGCCTACTTTACTAAGTAGTTCTATTTCATTAATGGCTAAGAGCCCTGGTCTAGTCTCAGTTAAAGAGAAACCCTTACCTGCTGCTTCTGCTTGGAAATCCATGCACTTATTTATTCATTCAATATACACATGCCTACAGCCTAGTGGAACTGATGAGACAGGAACTAGGTAATGATGCCCCGAGACATCAGCTTCCCCTGTCAGCAACAGCCCCTCGCCACCAAGCCACATCTACAAAACAATCTACTCACACACAGATGTCGGGGGCCCAGGAGGCATCACAGAAGATTTCACAGTAGAAATGGAAGAGTAGTTTATGCTGTGTCCCCAACAGCAAATAGTTCAAAATGTCCTGTTAGGCACTTCTGTTTTCCCCCAAGCTTTTCAGCAGGCCTACCATTACTTTGTTTGTTTGTTTTCTTTTTCCTCTCTGATCTTCCCATGCAGCATTTAGCCTGACTGACTCCTATCTCCTTCCTGAAATTTCCCTAGGAACTTCAAATGTCTCATATTTTTGTTATTAAAGTAATTCAGCTGTGCCTCTTAGTTGACACCCTCAAACCTATTAGTGGTTCAAGAAAACAAAGGCCTTACAGGTGACCCCTAATAGGACTCAAGGAAGTTCTCCTGCTTCTTGTCTTAACCCCATCTTAAAAGGATTAGGATTCTTAATGCAGCTAATAAAAGAATACAAGTTCTATCTCATCCAACTCTAAAATTTGATAGGAAATCAAATGAGACATGAGACGTACAAGTATACCATCTTACTGGGTTTGTTAAGGAAAGCAGAAGTGTCTTAGAACTTGTTAGAACACAGAGAGGTATATTAAATCAGTTTTTAATGTTTTTTCTTTGTAGGAAAAGAGAACTTGGAAACGCTGCTACTATTGCCCTTTGTTGGGAATTCCTAATGGCTTTTGAACTATTAGAGATGCTGAGAAGTGCTAAAGTGGAGGGTGGAAAGCTTGTTCTATTGTTTCACTCTATGTTTTCAAGGATTGACTTTAGAATCCTCTTTTTCATATCTTTGAAAGCTGGGTAGAGATGGGCAGGTAATGCTTATTTGTACTCTATTAATGTACATGTTCCCCAAAGACCACTGCCAAATTTTCCCAGCTGTGCAGTTAACAGCTGATTCAAGCTGGTGATGGTTGGGCATTCAGGGAAATGAGAAAGAGAAAGATGCAAGGCAAGGGCAGATAGGGCTTGTGGCTGTGTGACAACCCACATCTGGCTTCAAGCACCAAATGGAAGGAGATGAGAGGTCAGGTGTTCTTAATGCCTGAACACTTTTTTACAGCAAAAGACTAAGATAGGGCCAATGATGGCTGACAAATGGGTTTGAGGAAGACAAATAGCCTGATACTATGTGCAATGTTGCATTCTGTTCTCCGAACCTTTTCCTCACATTGTGTAGACCCACGCTAAGTGTGTCCCAGACTGTCTTTACAGTACTGGGGGTCTGCAAAGGAGACAGACTCAAAAAAGGGCATTCATTCTCCCTAGAGAATATCCAGTCACCTTAGCAATTTGCCACTTTTCCAAAGCTATCTGTGACACAGTCTAAGCCACATAACGGCTATTTTCCTACATGGGTAAGAGTTTGGTTAAGATTTAAGACCTCTACTCTCTGCAGTAGCCATAATTTGATCCCTGCTTCTGACAGAAGCTTGTCTGCAGGGAAGAAGAAACCTTAACACACTAAACAACTGAATTTGAGATTTATATCTACAAGTCTGTATTTTCTTGGCTTCTACAGCTGTACTTCAGCATTTTCCTTTTAATACCTATGGGCTACACTCTCTTTTGCTTGTCTATTTCAAAATGTGATTTTTATTTCTTTTTTACTTTCCTTGGTAACTGGCCCAGAGCCACACTAGCTAGAGGTTGTGTGACAGCAAATGCTGCACATAATTCTGCTGCCGGTTTATTCTTTGAGCCTCGGTATTCCAGAGCATTATGAGGTCCAGTGAAGTTTAGTTTTGTTGGCTTGGAGAGTTGAGAGTTATACATATTAAAATGTTCCAATCAATCTGTGGACCATGCTGTGCAATATCCCTGTGGTTAGAATTGACTTCTCCTCCACCTCCTCTCCCTCTGAACGGTCTGATGGCACTTACTTCCAGCTGCCTCATAGTCCAGTTTGTACTTTCACTCCACCAGAGAAAGCCGTGTGAAAATAGGAAACTTGTCACACCATACCATTAGCAATCAGTTCACTAATGACACTTTATGGGCACTCAATAGTTGTTAAAAATCAAGCAGTTTAGATTTATACACATGCCTGTCTCTCCTGCTAGCTGATGAATTCCTGAAGGAGATTAAATCTTTGTCTTTTTGAATATCACCATCTTTGAGGAAGATAAGAGATCTAATATTTAGTCAATCCCTCCTGAAAATCAGGTACTACCCATTCCTTATGTTTCTGTTTTACAGATGAGAAAACTGAGGCTCAGAGAAGGTTGTCCCAGGACCTCACAGCTTGTGAGTAGCCAGACCAAGACTAAAACCCCTCTCTGCAGAGTTTCATGCCATGATGGTTGTGGAGAAAGTGAAGGTTCCTATGGCCAGGATTCTTGCCTGGCCCTGGTCAGCTAGCTCACTGTACATGTGTGGGCAATATGTTGTTACTGACTCTATAAAGAGCTCGGCCCAGTGCTCTGGGCTGCTGCGTGGCTGCAGGAGAGCAGAGACTAGAGTGGTGGCAGCTCCGAGAACAGACTGAGAAGACTGTGGGGTAGAGAGCCCGGAGGCAGAGATGAAAGGATTACAGACCTGCAGACTGCTGGATGCAGACGTAATTCTAGTGCTCCACCTACTGCTGGGAGAACAAGCCAAGTAATAAACACTTTCACCCAAGAACGTTCCATTGTCATTCCTTGGTCTCACTGAATCCATAGTGAACTTGCCTGGGGCTAAAACCCATTGGCAAGACAATGGTCATTGACCCCACAGACCCAAGAAATGGCACACTGTGCTAGCTGCAGAGAACACTAAGAGGCAGTGATTTACACCACAGAATCCTGAAAAGGCTTAGGAATTTGGGGCACAGCTCACAGTGGAAGGAGAAGAAAGATGAACCTAAAGTAGGAGGACTGGATGAAAGTATGTTAAGAAGTAGTTGACCAAAATAAAAAAGATAGATAAGAAGTGTTGGTGAAGACTTGGTAAAATGAGAACCCTCATATGTTGTTAGTGGACTGCAAAATAGTGCAGCCATTTTGGAAAATAGTCTGGCAATTCCTCAAAAGTTAAAGTTAAACATAAAGATACCACATTATTTGGCAATTCCACTCCTAGGTGTGTGTGTATATATATATATATATATATACATACACACACACAGACACACACACACACATATATATATATACCCAAGAGAAATGAAAACATGTCCACACAAAAATGTGTACATGAATGTCTGTAATAGCATTATTCATAACAGCAAAAAAAA